AGGGGGATGTGTGCGTAGGTAGGGTGGAATAAATTTAATGGATAAGGAGAGGGGGGCAAGACCAGGGCTGATTGTAACAGGTGCAATAAGCTACGTCGGGCTAGGAGGTGGCTCAACGCGGGGCGGGGCTGCCAGACAGGGCTGCGTTTGCGGCCGCGGGTCGAGGGTTCGATTACTCCGGACCAGAAGTCATACTAGACCAAATGTGCAACAACTGCTCAACACATGCAAGTGTGCAACTGAATCGAACTGAATAAAAGAAATCGAAAATTCACTGCTGGCGTCGATGGATCTATGCTCTATAACTTCGATATAGCAGTCAACGGTACGCTGTCAAAAATACTGTACCAAAGTACAGCTAATGGACGCTATGTCTGTAGAAATGAGGTACATGATCGTTGTACCTTTTTGCTGTAGTGCCCATAAGACTCCGTCGTAAAGGATACTGTACTTCGTACCTAAAAATACTGTTCCTTACTCAAATGCCATCAGGCAAGGATTTGACCAGTGACCAGTGCGTGCTGTCTTTTTAGCAGATGATACCTGAAATACTTTCACTAAATATAAAGAATACATAAGTAACTTTAAGGTGTCAGCTAGCTTTAACTCTCGATAAGCAGGAAAGAGAACTAAGAGCAAAACCAGAAATCATCCGGTATCATCTTTTTGAGCGCTGGGGAATGGTGTCCGAGTGAGTGAAGGTCGCGCCAGAGCAGGCCTCTTCCTTGCCCTGCCCAACAATTAACAATACAACTGGGCCTCCGGCCGCGCTGCCCTCCCCAAATGTCCTCCTCTAGGGCCTCGACGCTCCTAGGCCGCCGAATCGCAAGATTGCAAGCAACCAAACAAATAGCAGCTAATGAGAGAAAATAAGAACATAGCCCTATTCATAAATTTATCATCTGCTTTCACGATCGATTCTTGATTGAGATTTTTTTTGACAGTGTAGCTGCGTTTCAGAAATTTGGCCAAAACTCGCCCAAAGCATCGTTTGTCTGTAACCTGCTGTATGAACTCACTTGCAGCATAGGTTCTTCGTCGATGCCACCTGATATCGCTTTTCAGTCAGTTGTGACATGACATGGCACTCAGAAAATACAACGGTGTATAGTTAGGAATCCACAGCTAAGCTAAAACCTATAGCTGGCGAGAAATGTAACACTCTTGTCCGGTTACCGATTTTTGACCCAAGTATTCCTGCTGCTTAAAAACCTATGTAAGCTGATGGCAACTTATTTCATGAGTAACCATACGAAATTCCTTTTCACATCACCGACAATGTTTTCTTTTTTCAAAAAGTTACTAACAAAAATATACGCAAATCAGTAACAAAAGTTAGTCCTTTACATAGTAATCCTGCTGCGAAGAAACGTAATAGTGTGCCGTCGCTAGACCGTCGCTAGACCGTCGCTAGACCGTCGCTAGACCGCCGCTAGACCGTCGCTAGACCGTCGCTAGACCGTCGCTAGACTGTCACTAGACTGTCGCTAGACCGTGGCTAGACCGTCGCTTGACCGTGGCTAGACCGTCGCTAGACCTTTGCTAGACCGTTGTCGTTAGACCGTCCTAGACTGCCACTAGCTCTGCCGTGTCGCTGCGCTGCGGCGGTTGATGCGGTCTAGTGCGGTATTGACTGCGCCGTTCATTCACCCGCTGGCCGCCACCCCCACCCC